GGCGGCGGTGGAGGCGTGGGCAGGGAGATGGCGGGCGACTCGCCTGGGCTCTCCTCCGGGTAATTTACACCTGGGTATGCGTATTGCTGTGTACCTGGTCGCCCTCGGTATTGCCAATCGCGTTTGCCGGAGCGTAGTACTGGAAATCCAATGGTTCGCGCGTTAGGCCTACGGTGGTTTCTACATGGGTCTGGATAGGGGCGATTTTTCGTGTGAACGGTGCTCTTCGTGGTGAGTGAACTGCGGATGTTTATGCTGCTGGGACTGTGAATTGATTTGAGTTAGGCGAGGGTTTAAGCTGTCAGAGAGTTTTACTTGAACAGGAAATTGGGTGTTATAATGAGTATACGTTTAAGAGGAATGATTTTATAATTTAAGATATTATTTTGACCGGTTTTTATATATTGAAAAATATACATAAGCAACATTTTGTCGAACATCTTTAAAATCCTAATCTTTTATTTCGATATATATCTTTCATACATTGATAAAATAATTTTTAACAGGTTTTTCCAATAATTTTCCATTTAGGCAACTTTTACGCATCGTCTTACTACATATTTAGTCCTCAATATGTTTTGGTTAAAGTCATGCTCTAATGTTTCATGCTACGGAATAATTTCATTAAATAGTAGAAAGATCGAATAGATTTCACGTAGCTTTATAATGGAAATCTTAAATTTCTTTCTGCAAGAATTAATATTATACATTAAAACATGGCTTCGATTTAAAAGTACAAATAACAGCATGTACCGTTTGTGCGAGGGAGATTGAAATTTCTCATTCACTTTGCTTTGTGAAAATAATGTTATTTACAATGGAAGGATAATGATAGGATAATAGATTCAGAGTTGACATCTGAAATTCTGTTTGTAATAAAAATTACAAGTTTATCTCAGACTTCGCTGTACGTCCTTTTTCCTCGGACGAACATCTCAAAACCAGATTGCATTTCCTTTTCAAATAAATGTTATACGATCTTTGATTTTATTTCAATTTTGTCTTTAAACCTGTTTTGAGATATCTATTTTTCAAGTGGAATGAAAAATGGAAAAATTATCTATGCCACTGTTAGCATGTTATACACGAACCATTCTTTAATTCTACAACACTTGAATGAATTATAATATTTTTCATGTACGCTGTTTATAAACCTAGAACCGTTACTGTCGTATAGATAAAGAATACAATTTTATAATGCAATTTTTCAATTCTCAGATACAGTATTTTTTACAAGCATCGAGCGGTTTGTAATCTCAAAATAACGAATTGTATTTTTCATCTGAAACAAGTTTCCAGAATAAGACCAACGAATTTACTGCAACGATATTTAACGCTATCAAAATACTCATCTTTGTCGAATTATTCGAATTTTACCTGTTGAGATTCTCTTCGAAATTGTCCGTAATTATACATTTACACACATCTTACACAGTTTTTTGTACAGCTGTACACGTTTCATCCGCATAAACATCCACAGTCTGCAGATAATTACCATCCAGGCTTGTATGGGAATTACGTGGTCGCGTGTATTGCGCGAGAGTGGTAAAAAGTAATCGTGCCGTGAATCGCGATGTTACAAACGACTTCCCGTTCGTTAAAAAAAAAGCGTGTTTCGCGAACGGTGCATAAAATTCTTCTCGGTCGTCGTTCTACCGTCCTGCCTTTTGTGAAACGTACTTGCTCCGGAAGAGTAGAGAAGTGAAAGAGAAAGAATTCATTCTATCGCCCGTTTGGCGCGAGAGTAACGTCTCTATGAAGGTGAGTTGTCATTCGATGCATAGTTCCGTTCAAAGGTTTGTTTACACTGCTACTGAAAATTCCATTTGCAGCGTTTAAAGCGCTTGAAACGGAATAAAAAAAAAAAAAGAAAAAAAAGAAACCGCGCTTGACACATATTGTTTGAGAAAAATTCTACAAAAGGGCAAATATTTGTCGATGTAGGTTTGTGGAACGATACAGCATTCTTCGTTTTGTCGAACTGAACGCAGATATTCGTAAATTCGTGAAATTCAATGCAACATAAAATGTTTCTTTTGAAAAGCATAGAATCGAATATCGATCGTTCCAAAAATATGATTCGACATTGGCAATCTGTGAACGTTGTTATCGACGGTTTAGAATATTTGTAACTTAATGTACAGCTTTACGATCCATCTTTAATATATCGTGTGCGCAATAGTAGCAGTGTAAACGCAGTACAACGTACAAGCATTTTCAAAGCTGCATGCCATTCGATCAAGTCACGTTTCATTCGCACGATCCTCTAAAAACGTCGCTAGAAGCCATGCTCAGTTCGCGATTATAAGCCAGCGTTTTCATGATAACCAAAGCTGTAGAAAGTAAAGGAAGAGCCGTGGAACGAAAGCAGGAGGTAGAAGGACGCCTGTGTGTACTTAAATTGCAGAGAAATGCAAATATCTGGTCGATTTACACTATCCAAACTATTTGACGATTTAAGCTTCAAATTACACAATTCAGAATTTTAATAATCCTCTTATTTGAATTTACTTTGCTCGGTTCCCGCGATGATATCGTGCATCGATATAGAGAAGTGTACAAATTTATTTAATTAATTAATCTACTTAGAAACTGCTTCGAGATAGATGATCGAGAACAGTGACGCAAGAAAGTGTGAGAAAGTGAGCCGTGTTCGTGAAAAGTTTTGAATAAAAATCGAGTATCTACGACTTTGATCAGGTTTAATAAAGTTTGCAGACATAGTATACCGCTGATGATTCGCTAATTTCATATCGAAATCTCTATTATAAAGATGAAAGAGAACGAAATGAATGAGAATGACGAAAGCTACGTAAGATGATGTACACGAGAAGCAGAGAGGAAATTTGGAAGAGAGAAGATAGGTACAGCAAAAGAGAGACGTAAACCGTACGATGGGGGATTTAAAATTAAGGGCTAGAGAGTACTCACATATGGTCCCGGGAAAGGCGCATGCATCCTCCGTCTAACTCTGCAGTCCGTACCACTAGAGACAAAAACAAAAGTAGAACGAAACGCGCAAAACGAGCAAAAATTACGTCTCCTGCATCCATCGAGTACAAAGAGAGAGAGACAGAAGAAGAAGAAGAAGAAGAATAAGAGAGAGAGTGAGAGAGTGAAAGAGTAGAAAAGAGCGCAACACATCCAGCCAGCCGCACATCGCACGCATGTACGTATGTATATATATATATATATATATATAATATATATATATCTACCTATATAAATGTATATATAATATTTATTTATATATATGTATATCTATTTCATATCTATTTATATACGATATACATATGGACAACGATCGATTATCGCCCTTGGGTCGATCGTGTCTTCGAAACAGCCTTCGAGAACCACACCCCTGTTTGAAATTCTCGATACTCGACCGTCTTTCGATCACAATATACACGTCGAACGTATACACGCTGCTAACTGCATGCCAAACGTACTCTATTATATGCTTCTATGTATACATATGTATTATAGGTTCTTGTATTACACGGATATGCATAATGCAGCCCGATGCCGCCATGTTACCGACGTATGTTACACGATACATCGAGATCGTTGGTTCGAAACAGGGGAAAAAGGATGAAAACGTTCCTGAATATAAAATATATAGCTTCTTCTACGATGGTAAAGTACGGCGAGTTGCAAATATGTTTCTCAAGCTTTATTTCATCGAGTAACGAAGAAACATAGGTGGAACGTTTCAGTCCGTTTCCTTGCTTGTCCGTTGCCAACACGATTCTACGAGCTCGTTACTCTAACCGCGTGGTACGCGTGCGATCGATAACAAGGATCTAGAAGTGTAGATTCGTCAGGCTACTTACCCGGCCATTGTCGAAATCTCGACCACCACCGATCGTCAATCGAGCTTTCGCCTTCATCGCGTCCGACAATGGGATCTGGAAAATTGTGAGTTTCGATAAATAGAATTTTTCTTTCTTCGTTTTACGATGCGCGATCGAATAACGTCGGTCGCTGATTGCTACACGTTTGCTTGCAAGGAGAAACATCGGATACAGTTTTTACACTATCGTTCGCAAGTGACGGATATACTTTGAATACGTATCCGTAAATGGATATTGTAATTATCAGGCTGCGGATTTTTATACGTTTATCCGTTAAAATATTCATAGTAAAATATCCAAAGCAAGTAAGCTGATTATAATATTTGGTGGATGAAACAAATTTCTGTTTAGGAAAGTTCAAGTATCCGAAGGTCTGGTAACTAGAAAATAAAATTGATGATTATCAATAGCGCGTATCATAAGAGGAACTAAATTATATTACGTTTCGAAAATTTTATTAAAACGTATGTTTGAAACGAGCAAGTGCTCCGTGACTTACGAACGAAAGTGTGAGCTACACAGTTTGAGATTAGTATCGAAGAAAGTTTTATTGCGGAGTGGTGCAAGCTCGTTACCTTTGCTCTGGTAGCTTCCGTATGTGATTTGTAACAGAATTCTAGCAGCGCGACGGCCAGGGCTAAAAGCAGACCACCGATCAGGATGTAAAATATTCCCGCCACGTTGCTGAGAGATAATTCGTTTCTAGAAGCATCTTGCTTGTCCCCGTGCCTGCATTCTGTTCTGTCGTACCACCATCGATTCACCAGTTTCGTCAATTCTCCGTTTTCTTTCAACGATAGCACCGCCAAATTTATGGGATCTCTGTAACGTGTCGAATATTAGAAAAGGATAATATTACAGAAAGTACAATAAATATGACATTGCAGAAATACTGGGCTGTAGCCAGGTTTTTACTTATTAAATATAAAACAACGATAATACAATAACGATGATGACTTTCACTCAGTACGATTCGATCTTTTTAAACGCTGTTCCTCTGACTTCCCGAATGATTCTCTCGATTATTCTTAAAGACATCGCACATACGACACATTCTTATCACACGCAATCAAATCTGCGCACATGCAAGCTGATCCAACCTATATGTTCTTAAGAATAACTCTTCGTTCTATCGTTATACTCGTCGATACCCTAAACTAATTCCATTATCCGTCATCCATATTCACGGCAACAACATTATGCGTGAAAATACCGGAGAAAAATCGCTTACTAAGATTTCTCAACTGTACGTATATTAACGGATTCGCTGTTAAAAAAATACGGCTGTATAAAATCCGATATCTTTTTACGAGAATAACGTTGCTTATTATAAATAATCGAAGCGTATGTCAGTAAGCGAAAACGTTAAATTAATTTATAAAATATACAACGTGAAAGAACAAAAGAAGGTTTTATAGCCAGTTTGTAAAATGACATTCAACAACTTTTTAGATGAAGTTCACAGAAAGTAGATTAATGACCGAAGAAGGAGAAAGCGTATAGGGAAAAAATACATAGAAGATATCAGAGGGGAAAGCCGATTGTGCCGCAAACAAATGTAATAAAATCGATGTTCGTATATTCGTTGAATTACAAATTGAATGTTCTCCGGACGAGGGGGTGAAACCTCGACGAGATTGAATTGGTTAGTCGAGACGAGAGAGCAGAGTGGGTCGACTCGTCCCTTAAGCGGTAATGATACGGAAAAATGGGTGTACGAGTTTTTCTATGCTAATTGTGTGGAACGACGTGGCGTGTTTCGAAAGGGAGGCACAGACCCGGGGCGACGGAATTTCAAAGAACCACGAAAGGGGCGGGTTAGAGAGGCAGATGCTTCGCCTCTTCCTGATCGCTAAAAAACCTCGTTAATTATGCTTTCGTATGGAAGAAATAGGTCGAACCTGTCCTTCCATTCAATTCGTGCGTTACACTTGCTCGAATGCATCGTGAGTGGCTTTGTAGAGAATTATCGAAGGCTCGAAACTTTTCGTATTTACCGTGTCGAGCACGTTGCTCTTTAAATCTCGTCTGTTTGTGCTACTGAGCGAGGAGATGATGCTTTCGTCGATTCCTCATTATCGTGTGAAATTTCTGGTTTAAGCCTTTTGAAAGAAATCTTCCTTTTAATTGTAACGTATTCAAATTTTAAAATATATCTTAATATAACGTAGATACTATAGATTAAATATAATTTTTCAAAGGAAATATGCAGTTCCACATTTACAATGAGATTAGATCATAGGATCAGTGATGTCAAAAGGATTATAATAGTGCAGTTATCGTTGCAGTAATTGTGAAAGTTACCACTTTACGTTCTACTGTCCCATATTGTGCCATTGACAACGGGTTAATAAGAACAACTTATAATTGGGAATATTTCTCAGCATACTGTATTTTCTATACTTATTTTCATTTTTGATTTTTTCTATGAAGATTATTATTAATCCTCTAATACGTCGAGTATTACCTTATTTTCGCGTAATTTATTTCGAAGCTACGTGTGCCACTAGTGTTGCATGCTATTACCTGCTCGTCTTTATACACTGAAACCTTCAATGGTTCAAATGAAAAGTTTAACGTGCAGCACACGATAGCTACGCAGTTCTGAACATATCAGATGTTCCTATGGTACGTATAGAGGTATACTTGAATCTTTTTTACCTGCATGAATATTATCATCAAACATGTTTCAATTTTACCATACTTCGAATCAAGCCTGTACTTGCAATGTACACGAGTACATGAGAAAACAAGATCTGACAGTCGACAAATTATTGATCAAAGAATACAAAGCGAGTTTCAAGCAACAAGGATGTCAAAGCGGTACATCGATGCAAACGTAATTACATAGAATGAGATAAATTAAAAGCAAACAGTACGATAAAGCAGTAAAGTTTACTTGAGAGGAGATCCCAATGGCGTTGCTACTCCAAAGCCTTTGGCATCCAGATTTCTGCCGACCTTCATTGTATCGCAGGGTTCCCTCTCGTTTATGTACTCGTTCTTCGGACTTTCGATCAGGAGAGCGTATTTTCCTTTGCTGGTCCTCACTCTTCGTATTCCCTCGTCGTACGTTTTTACAAACACGTGTTTCCGTGAGTTCATGAACTCCCACATTTTGCTGTAGAGATTAATCTGCGATTTCTATGAAAAAGGAAAATAGTCTTTAATAGGAATTTTAATTACGTTTATGTATTTTTTAATCGAGCATTTAAAATAATATATTATTTTAATATAGCTTTAACATATTAGGTCGTAACATATGAAATGTTATGCCAGTGTCCTAAATCTCGTGCTTTTAACGAATAATTTTGTCATTTTAAAACTAGATATTATTCTAATCTCCACTGTACCAAAGATCAACGTTCTTCGCTATTATTATTATCGTCGTATATTCCTATCTTGGCATGTTAAAGGTTAAAATTAAAATCTTTTTCTTCCGTGTTTTTTCGAGTAAAATTGTTTAACTCTTACATACTTTGTATAAACGAATGTTTTTTTAGATTTACGATCGGTGAAGTAAAAATGATTAAAGATCGTTAAAAATCATACCTATCCTACGTTACAACCTAATATTTTACTGTATTTACTTCGTTAAATCTGAGACGAACTTACGCGAAAAAAGTCCCAAGTAGATCCGTGAGATAGTGTGCCGTATTGCACTTCCGTTTGCGAGGCCAGGTCTTCCGGCGAGTTAATCGGCGCGACCATCCTCTCGACGGTTAGAAACGCGGCTAAGTTGGCAGTGTAGGAGGAGATTAGGATCAGGGTAAAGAACCACCAGACGCTGCCGACGATTCGTCCTGATATCGACCTGTTAAATGTGATTTTACGAGTGCTGAATATTAATTGGTAATTACATGTAAATAAGAGAATTAACATACTAAGAAATTATAGAGTAGTCTATTTAAAGTTGACGGATATATAAAATATGTTTTTTTTCTTGAAAAATTCACTTTATCATTGTGATAAAAGTTCTAAAATTTTTGTTTTATTTTAAACCACGAAGATTCTACTAAATGAGCCATCGAGTAGTCATACTGATTACCTGTACTAATTATAAAGTACAAAGTTTTAGTGTCAATCGTCTTGTTCATTTAAACTTTAATATATTACAAGTTACAAATTACCAATACTAATGACTATCTTCGTATAACCTCATCAAACTTGGTAATAAAACAAATGGAATTTTAATTTGACAAATTATCTGACTATCATATTTGGTGAAAAATTATGAAACTGTAAGAAAGAAATTTATAATCTGCAGACCAGGTCATATGATTATTGTTTATCTGCTGAGAAACCAAGTGATCTACGTCGGTAAAAATTATCATATTGTAAAGCAAGCATTAAGCATTAAGCTGCAATCTTATCAAACATCTCAATAATCACCCCTCTCGGACATAATTTCTAAAGAACGTAGCAAACACCCCTATATATTATAGCGCACTTATAATGTACATATATTATATATAATAACATATATTATAACACACATAGTAATATCATACATAATAATGTAACATTAATAATTATTACCCTCTCTCTCTCAAATTGCACATTCTCACCTCACTTACAATTCCTCAGCAGTAGACGTTTTGCACCTCTTTTCTTATTAGTTTCCTCAACTTCTTGCCAAGTATAAGAACAAAATCCTCACAAAGTTGTAACTTTTATTCTATTTCTTCTTCTTTCCCGAGGGCAGCTTTTCAATGTGATTACACTTTTCGTCCAGTAGATGCGACGATATTTAATAACGAAGCTTTACATGGTGTCCACGGCGAAATCACAAGTCGTATCGCGGAAGAAGCGGAACGAGAGGCGGCGGAGGCGGGGGACAGAAGGTTCCGCGAAATTTACAATTCATATGGGCGCTGCGCGAATATTTAAACCATTAATCAAGGAGGCTACCTCGCGATGGGTTGGCATGGTGGAATGGAAATTAATCGAGACCTAGTTCCGAAGCGACTGAAACGGCCCGCGAAAACGTCGCGATCGCTCCTTCAAAGATTTACGAGACGTTCAGTCGCGAACGGTTTCATCCTTCGCAATTTCGAGCTCCTGTTTGTTTTAAAACGAACGATATATCCCGTTCGAGGGATTTAGGAAGGATTAACGCATGTCGAAAATATATTATGTTTTGTCGTGTTTCAGTGTTCCGTAAAATACGTTACACGTTTGATAATTTTACGTAGGTTGAGACGAATGAATGAAAATGCATTTAGTCGTCAATGAAAGAAAATTAATGAAAAAGATACGATTGGTTTTTTTGATATTTGATATTTGATAGTATTACATCGTTTGGGAAATTCCTTTAAGTTATGCGATATTTTCTGAGGCACTTTAGTGTAGAGGCACTTTAAAATTATTTCCTGATTATGCCAATTCAAAGAGTTTCGTTATATTCGTGTCTAGGTTAAAATATACTAAAATTATATAATATAAATGTTTGGCGAGTGACATCTTCTTAATCGTGAACTTCTCACGTCTCACGAAGAACGACGAATATTGTTTCTTTAAATTTTCCTTGGAACCTGCATTTATGCCATCTCTTTATGATAAATAAATTTATGAAAATAAGATTTCTCTTTTAGGATGCCGAATACTAATTACGTGCCTGAATAATGATAACTTTATAAAGAGTGGTCTTGATCAATTTTGCCTTTGAGAGGTTCATACGTAACAGCGTATTTTAACAAGCTTCCAAGTAAAATTAATCTTAAACTGCATTATTTACTTCTTTAAAAAATATTTAAAAATCTATACATATTTCTATAGTTAGTAAGTGATAAAAAATATCTGATCGTAATCCAAGAATGACCGTATAACTCTGCATAATCTCGACACGTTCTACGAGCAGAAGAAACACGTCAATTATTCGTCGTACACGAAAACTGGGTAAAAATGCGGTAAAATCGCATGGACATTTATGCAAAAAGAAGGCGAGAACTTGGCTCAGCATGAAATGTATTATCCGCGATCGTAGGTCAGTTGATCAATGTTTCATGCGTGGGAAGAAGGATATAAAGACAAGGAAAAAGAGGGTCGAATTGGATCGAACACCTACATACATACACTCATATATACATATATACAATGGCTATGAAAGGTATTTGCATATCATTGTTGTTATTATCACATCTACATACTAATTAATTAAATCCAACCCGATTAAATTTCCTATGATTTAGTAGTACTTTCATTTACATTTGAACTTGATAAAAAGACGCCTTATTGGAAAATAAGGGTATGTAAATACTTTTTTATAGCCACTGTACAGTGACTCACGAAAGTATTCGAAAAATCATAGAAACTTCTTCCGTATATATCGCGGAAAATATTTTGAAATCTCATTATCATCGTAATACGATACGGCTATCATGATTATAGTGGTAAATTTTTAAACAAATCTGAAGATATATTTAAAAGTTACAAGGTATTTATCGAAAGCGCATATTTCGCTAAGATTAGCAAAGTATTTGAACGTTCGATTACTTACGATATTGATAAGCCACGATATATTTAATGAGATCATCTTTAACACTAATTATATGTTCAAGTTTTTACTACAAATATATTTGCAATAAACGTCTGGTAACTTAACTTCTACATCGGCTTCAAATTTTATTATTATTATCGTGATAGTCGTGTTTCGTTATAGTGCTAATGAAATTTCAAAAAGTTTCGTACAACGCACGTAAAAGAATTTTATGGTAAACGTTCGAATACTTTTTATAGGCACTGTAGCACATACGGCCTCGGTTGGCGGCAAAGCGTGTCGCTAATGGAATTTTCGAGCCGCGGCTACGAAACGGCACGCTCATTCAAATGAGCCACCCTCGAATAGCCTAGGAGGCCTAATCACGGCGCTGATTGCGAGAGAGCCGTTCTAAATTACGCCCGGCACGAGACTACGAAATGTAATCCGATTATATTCTGATAATTCTGGCCACGCGGTTTATAATCGCCGTTTACCTGGCACGCAGTTGTAATTTAAACGAAGGAATTTGCAACAGTAATTACCCTGCACCTTAACCCCCGGGTGGCGAACCCAGTAAATCACCCTCCTAAAGGTTATCATCGCTCAGCTATCTGCTACCGGTTGGCGATGGAGATCATGCGTTGAAGGACATCTTAAACCTGTATTAGGTCGTTACGTATGAAATATCTGTTTTCCCCTTTAACGTAATCGCTGCTATTGACGCGTATTTTGCCTCCGTGCAATTTTTTAACGATAAGTAATACTTTTGATATTGTAGTTATCGCATTTTTATTCTTATGCGCTTCGATGAAATGATTTTGAAAAGTAAGCAAAATAACGGATAGAATATAATAATTATTGTTTATTATGAACACGTCTCCGATGAAATAGAAAGGTTCTTTTTAGTAGAACACACTTTTATAGAAATACTTGCGCTATATTAATCGGTGTCTAAATAAGAACTAGGTATTAGGTTCGATACATTATTCAACACAGTTAATTACAATCATACAATAAAACAATACATCATCGTGAGGCGTTTATAAGCGCGCCTATTAAATCCTTCGTAATTTATCATATCTTCGATCGAAACTTGTTAATTACGCAGAAATAATCTCTTTTCAAAGAATCGCTCTGCCTGTTCTTACGAAAACAAAAAAAGAACCGCGAAGTGTTTAACCAGGTGACTTTAAGCGAGTTCGGGGCGACGAACCTTTAGAATCTTATCCAATTCATCTCATTAGCAGACAACGCGGTTGACCTGTTCCAACTAAAAGACAACCATTCTACTGTGCGCGCCGTGTACTTTATGCACTTCACCCCATTTGCTTGTACCGCGGAAATGGAAACAGGACGCAGAGCGAAAGTAGCTATAATTAGTCGAGAAAGAAACCAGCTATCTTTTCCCTCGTAACACGCAACGCTTCCTATCGTTGCGTTGTTCCGCTAAACGACCAGGCAAACATTTTTCAAACCTTTCTCCACGTGCGCTTCGATCGCTATCGCGATACTGATAAAAGATGTTCAACTTGCTTTTACTCAACGTTTCCAGATAAGAGTGGTTCTAGAAGCTCCCAGGATAGCACCGCTTGACTGATAAGAGGACTCGAGCGCGACGTAAAAAGAAAGCCTGATAATTGACCGAGATTAAGCTAATTAGTTTTTACAAAGCACCTGCACTTGATAGCGATTCGCGTTACCACGAGGCTCAGAGGATGATCGTTGCAGAGGAGGAAATGAACGAATACCTGGGTGATATGTCACAGCCTTGCTGCATGAACGCGGCTAGAGCGAACCAAAGGCTGTTGATGATACTGAAATCGTTCGCCATGCTCGAGGTTGGAATGTGAGGAGATCCTTGCGATCCGTGTGGGTGTTGTAGCGTGGGATCGTTCCTTGTACCCATTGTGGGATCCCCACCGGTGCTTAGAGTCAGTACTCTCCATTCGTATGGGGAGAATCTGTGGAGAACGTGTGATATTAATGACGAGACCTTTATGCATTACGTTTGTGTTTTTGAAGACATACGATTAGGATTTAATATTCTGTACGTAGAATAAATAGATTGAACAATAGATTTGATATTCCGTGAATTGTTTTAATTTGCAGATTTCTTAATTTTGAATCTTTTCGACTCTTAGCTCTTTTAAAAGCTTTGTTTGATTTAAATTGTACATTTCTTTTAAGGAAAATTAATTTTATGACTAAAGATTTGGGTTAATCGTGAATTGAAATTATCGTGTCATAGGTATTGCCTCTATCATTGGATCACCTCAATAACGTATGTTAGGTCAGCTAATATTAGGATTCTTATTTTATACAATAAATGATCCCACTACTGATACCTGTGATCTTTATCATATAAAATATAGAACACATAAAACACAAAATATAGAATACCTTAAAATTATCCGACCTAAGCTAATCTACAGTAGTCACGTATGACCCAACAATACGAGTCGAGGTTTAAGAAAAACGTTCATTAAAGAAGATAAAATTTAATCATCAAAAGAAAATCTGAAGTCCCTCTGGCCGTATTTCTCTCGGTTAATTAATCAGGAACTCAAAAGAAAAACAATGATTGGCCAAGATATCCGCTACTCGGTAATTAAACGTTCAATTGTTTAGGTTTCATCGGTCTTTCATCGAGATTAAGATCGTATAAAATCGTATTTGGGAAAGTCACGTGAAATAAGGAACGATAAATAACGAGATAAGAATTAAAACAAACTGTGGCGAAGAGGTAAACAAGCTGTTGTGTAATTAGCCATCGACAGGAAAAGGCTAAGGGGAAGCTAATGTCGTGTGGTTTGTGTGTGGCATTGAATGTACCGATCAATCACGAATACGGGAATTTCTGTTACAATAAATTACTGCTTTCTCTAACTCTAAGGCCTAGCTTCCCTTTTCCTTGATTTACAATATGCGCGTTAATGAATATATTGGAGGATAGAATATATAAAAATACGCATAAACGAAAATAAAAATTTATAATACTTGCTACTATATATACTTGTCGTAGTCCCTGAATTTCGTTTATTTACTTAATTAAAAAGAATTGTTTTTTAGAAGTAGTTATAGCAATAGCAAATACTTGTATATAAAATATTACACGCATTATCATTGCTTTATCATACAAGCGCAATGCACGATGAAATATATAACGAAAGAAAGTTACAAACTTTCAATATTTCATAGAAATTCACTTTCACGAGAAACTTCTCTATTGTTAATCGAAATACTATGTTTAAATCGAATTTGAAAAATATTAAGTGTGCTTCAAAGAAACATTAAACGCATGGAACATACGTATTGCCATATGTCTGACCATATACCGACCGTATCTACTTAACCGTGTATCCGTCGAAAGAAGCGAACAGTTCCGGAAAAATCGCATTTACCTGGACACGGTAAAAAGAACGATGGATACACCGATGTAGGAGAAGATAACGCAGACCCAGATCTCTTTGCTCAGTGGATTCAAGAAGCTGAACACACCAGGTTTCTGTTTGATGGGCTTCTTGATCATGATACTAATACCCAGTGACATGAAAGGTTTGCTAAAATCGATCACTCGTTCACGTTCAGAAGTGATTGTCATTGGAGCAATGGCAATGTCTGCTTCCTAAAAATATAGTACAACTGTTAATAAAAGAATTTACATTATAAAACAGGAAGATAACAATAAACGATATTACAAAAGGTAAAATTTACAACACTTTTCAGTTTTAGAATAAAATACGTCGTCCAAACAATATGCTCGTTATTTGAAGAATTATTAAACAATATAGTATAAAGTATATTAATATAACTATTTAATAATAATAATAATACGCTAAATGTTTCATTTTGGAATCATTTTCGTCAAATGCGAATAAACAGCTCTCGCGTTCCCATTTCATTCTTTCGAAGTTCGTCCACCAGATGTAGCTCGAAATACAGCAAACAAGATGAAAGAGCTTGCAAGCTTGTGGCATCTGGTGGAAGAGCTTCGTACTTTCTGCCCAAAGATAAAACAGCTCGTTGAACGTTCGTTTCGTTGGACCTCGATCAATAGTACAATCTTTCGCGTAGTTACACGAAATCCTTTAGTCCGCCCCAATACACCGACATCCAAAGTGTATTATTGTGAAAAACGCATCTAGATCGCGATCAAATGTATTCATCGACTTCTTTGAAACTTACTTTCCGAATCAGCTCGCCGACCATGCCGTCCCAACCACCGGGAACGTCTGGATTTTCCATTCCGTATTTACCGTCTTTAACTATTCGTAACTCATCTAGAAAAGGGAAATTTAATGTATATATGTATATTAAATTTAACATCGATATTTTACAAGTTGTGAAATTATTGTTAAAGTAATAGTAATTTTTTGAATGTTCGATTTCAATTTAGATGGATAGTGGGCGAGAAAAAGGTTCTTGAACCTCTAAGGGCGGGGTAACTAGGGGCTTCATGTGTAACATCCTCTTTTTCAATTTTATTCCTTTTTCTTCATAAAATTGATATATCAATGATAGTCATATGGACGAGCATTTATAGTTCGATTGGATGAGCTTCGGTTATCGTGTAACAATTGCTAATGACTCGAGAGAATAAATAGGAGGGCAAGACATTCTTGCAATTTAATTTAATTCGGTTTAATTACTTTTTATCTTGTACAGAATACATAAAGATATAAACTTTGAAAATCGTGTAATAGCATGTACATTGAAAATAAAATACTTACACGATATTCCCAATTTCTTAGCTATAAGGTCAGCTAGATCCTTACAGTAGCCCTCGTAACTATCATTGCCAGTCAATATCTCCCCAGTGTCTGATTTCTTCTTCATTATGTACGGTTCCTCCTGTGTCATTAAAAAATAATGTAAATAAATAAGACAATTTAGTCGATACACGTCTCCATTTATTCAACCAATATTCAATTCAGATATTCAATTTATATCCATTTCATTTACACTCACGCTCAAAAATCTCAGGATAAAATTTCAATATTTGATATAGATTGTCAATTTTAAATTACAAGTTGCCAATACTTCAGCATTTTATGCATTAGTTGCGTTTTCTATCGTATGGAGTATTAAATTAAATGGTATTTCATAAAGTTTTTTACAGATCCTTTAACTTTTTACCCTTTTGTAGTAAAAACATAACAATGACATATTTGTGAGTCGCCGGGCTTCAGTCGTGTTAGTAGTATGTTACGCTCTATTCCGATATTTCGTAGACACTTCAAGTCTGGCTTGAGCAAGTGCGATTTTTAACAAAGCACAACGTACTAACAATACGATTGAAACCCAAAGAGTCATTAATAATATATCATCTGGTCATTGCGAAAATCTAAAATTTAAAAATTGTAAAAATTGTTTTACCGCTTTTAAGCGAAAATATTACGTGTCCATCGGTTTTTGAGTGTTTAGAAACACTGTAACATAATGTCTTACCACAATAGTAGTGACAATGTAGGTCTTATTCTTCTCAATTTCGGTATGCGGTCGAAGTCGAATGTATTTCGCGGCGATGGCCTGGAATCCAGCCTCGTCTGTCCATTCAGCTACCTTGAAAGGAAAATCGTGAACGGTTAATAGCTTTTCAGCCACGTCGCTATCTCTATGAAGTTCGTACAGCGATGTTCGCGTCCATGTCGGTCGATAGTCACCGATAGTCAACATTGCTGCGTAAAGTCATCGGACCGTAGACTTCGTCAAACAGCAAACAACATAAAACGAGGAATTAAAAGGGATTGGTATTGTCGAGTTTTTCCACGCGACAATTTCGATGCTTTTTTCCCTTTATTTTTTTTTACGTTGTAAAATTTCGAAACTGTCCGATTACATTTTGGCCTCGGTCTCTGGGGGCGGAGGCACGCGGCTCGTGTTCGTTGGGTGAAAAAAATATTTACTTTGACCATGGCGCTGTTGACCGTCATCTCGACGACGTGGAGGGTGTAATTGTGCCTGCGACCGTCATCGTTGAAGCGGATCTCCCCAGTTAGTCCCTCGATTTCCACCTGAAAGTTAAACACGCGTGAGTGTTAAATTTTGCAACTCTGTTTTTATGGTTTTTAAATACACAGTAACACGTGTTTGCGAAGATTACGTTGTCTAAAACCAAATGTAGCCCTTTTTCGATAAGATATATCTTATTTATATTTTATCGATATTTTTAAAAATAATGTTTCGGTTTTTTGTCGATAATATATGATGCGATTAAAATGGAGATACATTGTATTTAGTAAGTTGACTATTTTTCAGTCAAGGTGTGGTTTCATATAACCAAGATTTTAGTATTTCATGACCTACTTCTCTTTTATACTTCCATGCTACGAATATTACGATAGCGTATGCTTGTTTTATAATCATCTAGTAAAATTCGAAAATATTTGTTTATCGTTCGTTGCCATTGTTGAGAACATATAAGAATTTTACAGAGGATTGTAGTGGAAGGGCAAAGAAGTTAATAAGCTATCAACAAACACTAAAACGCAACAGAAAGTATCTTTATCTCTGATAGCATAAAAATTTACAAGATGAGATGGAAACAAAATAAATTCAAATTTCTTTATTTTTCTCTCAATACACCATTTGTGAACTTTTTTTGAGCTTTCTAAGCTTCGTTCAAATTAGTCAATTTACGTGCCTCAAACGACTTAGAACCAAGCTACTCAATCACACTTTATCAGTGTGTATCGGTTATTTACTAAACTTAAAATATCCTTTCACACTTCACGTGAAGCTGAAGTTCTTCGAAATATCTCCATTTCTTAAACAAATTAACTTTAAAATATATGCTATATTAAGTATTCTTTATCAGATATTTACTGAAATTCATATTATTTGAATTGAAGCGATTTCGAGTCAAACACAACTTGTCTTGTACAAATACAAACACGACTAACATGTACGACACTTTACGAAAATGAAATTTATTTTTCTGGAATCGTTAATTATACGCTACTGCCATACGCAAATTTTTATCGATGATTATCAATTTGGAAAAATTTCTTTCGCCTAAGAGGAATTTCTTGATCTTGTCAGACGATAAATTGATGAAGAGGAGCAAAATTGCAGATATAGCGACGCCATTTCCGGTGTAACTGTATACGTACGTATATAGAACGAAGGGAGACGATCTGACGTGGACGTAGGAATGCCGTTAGAGTCAGAATAACCGCCAATTACTGTCAATGGCAGAGAAACGTCGGCAAGGGTCCTTGGTAATTTCGGTTGCCACCGGTATTTCAAATATATTGACTATTTCTGCGTTTCTGTCCGCACTTCAAGAATTTCCGAATGAATCATTTCGACAGAGCTGCGTAGTCTTGTCATGTTTTTAATGTGAATACCGCGTTCGTTGGAAATATGTGCCAATATTAGATGTACGCGTAGTGAATAAACGATCATGTCGTAAAAGCTGTTCATGAAGAATTCATGAAACATAAATAGATTTTCAGTTTGTGCATTTGGTACCAAAATTGAACGATTACGAAATTCTTGCAGCAGGAGTGATCGGTTTATAAATTGTTCCAACTGCATCTCGGCAAATCATATAATAATTAATCACAACTTGGAAAAAGTTTTGTGTACGCTTCCTATATTTTGTCTGACTTCGTATACGTGAGAAAAATAGTTAGTTGTGAATGATGAATTATTTCTTTCTTTTCTTTTTTTTTTTTTTGTAGAACAGATTTCACGATTTAATTTCTAACCGAATAGTTTACATTTTAGACTATTGTATTTTTGTAAACGTTACATGTCATGTTTGGTACGATGTATGTACTTGTGGATAACAAAGTCAATTTTTAAATAAAATGTGCGTTTCGTTATTACAAACTGAATTTGCTAGTATTAAGATGTCTGAACGATAGTTTAAAATAAATTCTGTCTGTGTAAATACCATGGCGCACAATATATAACTTCTATTAAATACTCATTTTACACAAAAATAGGAGGTGGGACTTGAAAATCAAAATAGATGTTTGAACGTATAATTAGTTGAACGAAACATATAATTAGTAATGGAATTTTTATGTTGCAGCTGGCAATGAGTCGTGATTTTATAGTAACTATCTAGTTACTATACTTAGCTGTAAAACCAAAGACAAAGGTTAGATTCGCTATATTACATGATATCTATTTTTAAAACGATTTTTGGGTTTTGCGAAAAAAGAAGTTAGCGTCGACTTACTTTTCTCAGATTCTTGGAAATTTTATCGCCATACTCAAATGGCGTCACCCAGCCCCGACTGTTATTGCAATCCAGTGCCCTGGTGCCGTTGGTAATCTGACTGCCGCCAGGAATCCCTGTTCGCCTCACGTTGCTTCTATCCGGCTTTTTTCTCAGAAACTTGTTGAACGCCTCGACGAGGACGAATACGGCGTCGTACATCAGCGCAGCTTGCGCCTAACGCGAAGAAAATCGTAGAATGAGTGTTGGAGTCGTCAGCGATCATTTTTGTTTTAAGGTCAGAAAAAGGTAACTTGGGGCGTCTAACATTTCACAAATGAAATTCCTTTTTCTAACGTTGTTTCGTCATATGGTTTTGGAAAATAAAATCACCTGTGTATTGTCGAGAGATATTTTATAAAATTTAATATATCTAGTGAGATATGTATAATTTTGTGTGCTAGACTAGATTAGCCGCGTAATAGTGACACACGTATGTGAATATGAGTGTACGAAAGTACGTGTGTGCTCAGCGTCTCGAAAAAAAAGATGAATGTAATTGTTCCGTTGACAGTGTGGTATAGAAGATTTTTTTTTTTATTTGGAAGAATTTTACAATCAATTCACAATCATTGAGAATTATAAGTAAATTATTCTGGTGTGGTACTTTAACTTGAATAATATGTGTTTATCGTATGTTTGATTCTAGTTGAATCTGATGCTTAAATCTAAAGGATAATGTCTTTTTAGCCTGCGAATCTGATCGTGTCAAGTAATTGAGTAATTGAGTGGGTTTTGGCGGTTGTTAATTCTTATGTTATATCTGTTACTGAATTTGGATATTTCTTTGTTAACTGCAGGTATCTTAAGGTCGCGATGTATCGTTTCGTTGATAGCATACCAAGGTGCATCTATTAAGAATTTTAGAGTTTTTGATTGGAATAGTTGAAGAATTTCTATATTGGAATTACTCGCTGTTCCCCATAGTTGGATCCCATAGGTCCAAACAGGTTTTAATATGGCTTTGTATAGCATTATTTTACTCTGCACGCTTAAGTTGAAGCGTCTGCCAATGAGCCAGTAGAATTTTTTAAATTTTGATTTAAGTTGTTTGGTCTTGTCTACGATGTGTCGTTTCCATGTCAAGCTTCTATCCAGAATCATGCCCAGATATCTGTCTGACTCTTTGTTTGGAATTGGAATATTATTTATGGTCACCTGTGGGCAGCGTGAAAGTTACATGACTGGGTTTATTTTCATTAATTTTCAAGGGTACGGAAGATGGTGAGACAAAGAGAGTGCTGAAACGCGTGCAAATGTATATCGACGAAAATCCCGGAAGTCGTTTATTAAATAAATCTGAAACTATTTTAATATGAATTCTAAGTGTAACCTTAGTGTTCCTTCACTTTTATTTCGGCGATTAAGATTCACAATTCTCAACAATATCTTATGTTGGATTACACGGTAAGTTATTTGTGTATATAAATATAATAAATTTGAGAAGGGTATTTTGCGGTTTTAAAGTGATTAAAGTAAGAAAGAAATCATGGTAATTGCAATGACCTTTATAGGGCTGTTTTCTTTTCCAGTTAGAGATACAGTCGCTATAAGTAGCGGTATGAATTATACATGAAGCTTGCTTTTAAACGCGGCACGAGAAGTAAGTATCGTGAATCTAAAGAGAGTTTTCTCACAGAACGTAACCTGATATACATGCAACATCGATATACTAAAAGTTTATCATGTATGCGTTAAAAGCGATATAAAATTCCTTTTTCGTGACTTAAGATTTTCTTAACTGTAATGCTCGCAGTATATCATGAAAAAATCATTTGTTTCTTAAAACGCTGTTTCTATTTTTCTGCTCTTTATCTCATCAAACTGTACAACGTTAAGAAGTATTAATATAATGGTTTGAATCATGCAAATCGTTTAGAGTTTCTAAAGGACTGTGTGATTATTTCGTGCTGTAATTATAATATATTATAGATATCACATAATTATATTAATATAATCACATAATTTATATACATTTATATTTAGTCAAGGAAAGAACAGCAACACATCCAAACCAACTGGCTGCTTAAGCGAGCAAAACTCTCATAGAAAGAAGGCTAAAAAGGAAACACCTCACTAACCTCACTAAAGAAATAAAATAGTCAAACTCGAAGATGGTATCCCGCTGGGGATATCTGTTATTTATTTAACCATCCACATGTTATTTAGCAATTAAGTTAAGAAAAATTGACCAAATGTCCAGCTGAACAAATCGTGAAATACAAATTGAATAATAAAGAAAAAAAATGTATATTTAGTCACAGTTCTTTCTAATGGATATACAATAAATAATTTATAATTTCCTTAGGATGTAGGTGGAAAAATGACTCTTAATCAAATCATATTAATCAAATCATATTCCTAAAATTTTTGTCCAGTCTGCAAAACGTATTGAAAATTGCTCGAATCCTATAATTATTCCCGCTATTCTATACGCAATCAAACAAATTACCAATTCGTAGTTCCACCTGTCACATCGAGTTCCCCTATCAAAATCCGTTTTATCAAGCGCAAAACCTGGCCAGTTTCAAAACATCCAATCGATCCTCGTCAATGGGCCATTCGTCATTGTTACAGGAGACAAGCAAACGTACCAGACTCGATTTGGCAATCCAAGTCCTCTGTTAATCGTCGTAATAATTGAAATGATCGCGTGGACAGGATTACGGGAGGACGAAGGGAAGTTTCTTCGTGGTCGTTTCCGAACGGCGCGGTTAAGCTGACTCTGGCAACCGAGAAAATCGTTTATAGTTCTCACGGGACGTACGCAGATTCACGAGCACGGGGACACATCGGGCACGTGGCCAAAGTTAGGAAACCGTGGGCAGAAATTGCACGAGGATCGATCAGGATAATCGGTGCGTTGGGTCGCACACAGTCTTTCGAGTTACAGTGACTCGCGAAAATGTTTGAACATTTACTATAGGAAATTTTTATTTGTATAATATGTACGTAATATCAGCGGTTAAAGATGAAATCAGCAAGTACGCAAAAAATACAAGGAAAGAAGGGCAACACATCCAAACCAGCTGGTGAACCGGTGAAGCGAGCAAAACTCTCATAGAAAGAAGACTAAAAAGAAAACACCCCATTGACCTCACTAAAGAAATAAAATAGTCAAACTGGAAGATGGCATCCCGCTGGAGGTAGCCATCCACGTGTTATCTAGCAATTAAGTTAGAAAAATTTACCAAATGTCCAGGTGGACAAATTGTAAAATGGAAATTAAATAATAATAATAAAAAAAATATGTACGTCGTACGAAACTTTGGAATTTTATGCGTTCTGTAATGATTCATTGCTAGATTGCGGATTTTTATGCAGATTCATTTTCATATGCACGCGATTAAAGAAATTGAACATAAATATAAATATTGTACTTTTATTTGTTTATTATTGTACTGTTGTAGATATATTTTCAGATTTCTTCCAACTTTCACCAATATGCTCACGATTGCTTTGTCTAATTAAATTTCGTGTTAATTAAATTTTGAAGTGTTCTGTACAACACACATAGAATATTGATGAAAAGTTTCTCGAAGTGTTTGAGTGCTCTCGCGTACCATTATATTCGGATCTTATGGAACCAAAACTATGGAAGTGCAACGTTACTCAAGATCGTGATAACCATCGATCGTTTTGGTTAGATTATGACTCATTGATAGATCGCAGTAAAATTCTACGATGGACGTGCGAGGGTTGATGGCGGTTTGCGGTAACGGTTATGGTCGAATGAAATTCATCGTTACGTTGTGTAACACTATCCCGATATCTTGGAATAATTTGTATAGCAAAGTAATAAGATATTTGAGTCACCCAAGATTAGACGTCTCGAATAATCAAATTCATTATATATTTGTATATGTATATGTATATGTATTATGCGATTTCATTAGTTTTTAACATAACAACGAAAACATGAGAAAATATCGTGTACTTCAGGTCTAACAAGGAAAGATACCACAAATGGGAACAACTCTATGGTTGAGTCATTCGAGTCAGTGAAAAAGTATAATACAGAAGCTAATAAATTAAATAACAAAATAACTTGCAGAAAGAAAGTAACCTACACACGTTGTTGAATTATGACAATTATAAGTGAAGATAGTAACATTGGACGAACATTTCTCCTTTCGACGAGTAGAAATTGTATCCTCCTGAAGAACTATAGTTGTCGAGCTGTCAGTGTAAGTATAAGATATACGAATATGTATCTTACTGTTTATCGCTTCGTTAACAACGAGTCTAGTCCGTTTTTAAATGTAGGTTGCTTAAAATTGTATTGCTTTCTTTATTGTTATTTCAATTCGTATGGCTTGCAACCTGCGAGCTTTTTACCGTTAATTTAGGTAAAACAACGCATCCTCTGTTTTCGACACTAAGACCGTGGTACTCTAATGTCTCAGTGCATATACATAGAACGAGTAACAGTGATTTTTATTCCGTCAGAAACACGTGGAATCTACAGCTGTTAGATGGATACCGGATCACCAGAAACCGCGTTAAAGTAAACGCAATATGACAACAAATATGTCGAGTTGCAGAAACGTCGGGTGAAAATCGACCGGAACCGCAAACTTAAAAATTGTTCAGAACCGAATTTGACGAATTACAAGGCAAATTACTTACAAATTACTTCGGTCAAGTATCTTTCTGGCTTAATCGTATTCTGCCCTAACATTCTTATGCTATGTTATTGCAAATCGATAGCAATATTGTTGCAAAGGAAAAAAACATATAAGGGCGTGTCTATCGATTTTCGATATTGTATAACATTGCTGAAAGTGCTGAAAATGTTTGATAGCCTTGTGTAAATATTGTTGCATGATTTCAATGGACTCGGTAACATACTTCAATAGTGCTAGAAAGGTAAAAATGATTCATAGCTACCATTCCCTGTTATTGTGAATTTTAGATCGTCTACGAAGTTACGTGATATTCGATGTTGTACAATATTCGTACGATATTTCTAAGCGTGCTCTAACGTCTTTTCATGTAATTTAATGTAATTTTCTGTTCAACACTTCAACTTTTCCCTAACTTTATTTGTAGCTTTGTGTAATACTATCCGACGCAATTTTTTTCAAATTACGTTAGTTTACATTTTTTTTTTCGATGGAAGATCGCGAAGGAGCCATACAACTCACGTTTTTTCATTTTTTTTTATAGAGGGGAAATCTTTAAATTCAACATGCTGTCAATCAATCCTATATTTATTAAATTCATTTATATTAAATGTGTATTTTTTCATCCTCTTGAATATTTTAAAAATATTGGTTTTCATAATATTAAAAATTCTGTATATTTATTAACTTTTTAATAAAAAAAAGCCTATGCATCTATTACAACCATTTCTTTTTACATTTGAAGTAACTAACAGATCATTTTTACGTTTAACCCTGTCATATTGAAACATTTCGTGTCAACCACCGAATAGTATAACACAAAATAGTAAAATTCACAGAATCAACGAAATTCAATGAAATAGCTAAAGGACAAAAGTTTAAACACGCTTTATATTCTTTCTTTCTGCATCTTGATCTTCCTGCATCTTTTCTTAAGTTTTCTCTATCCAATTTTATTCGATAATTTCTTCAAAATTTGTTGGTTGATGAAAGCAGTATAAATTACCATGTGTAGTGTTCTAGACTTAGCCAACATTAATTTGATTCAGACCTGGGTCCTTTTGTCTGACGAAGAGTCAGGTTACTCGGGTTACGGATCTTCAGTTTGATTTTCTTTTCAGGCGACTCGAAACGTCCCTTTTACGTGCAATCGCGTCCACTTGACCGCGCTAAGTATCCGAAAACAAGTCGGAAACCGGAGTAGACTGGTTCGCTTAGGGTAGAAAATTGGAGTACTTGATGGTACTCGACAGCCCATATGGAACTCGAATAGGCGTCTCCCTTATGGAAAGACGACTACAACCTGACAAGTACTACCGAGAGCGTTCAAGGCTATTGGGGGTACTAGAAACTAGGGATAATACTTGATTTTCAAAGAAAAGGAAAGATCGTTTTACCACAAGAAACGAGGCAACTTTTTAAAAATATATGCAATAGAAAAATATACAATTTCGGTACAGAGTCGTCTTTCAAATCTCCAGCCTTTGGTCTTACGAATAAGATTACGATACATCTATCGTCGTTGAACAAGAAACGTTCACCACTTAGACGTCAATTACATAGATGTTCGATATTTTCTAGATGGTGAAATCCATTTGTTTAATTGGGTTTATAAATGTACGAGTTTACGTACAAATTTCCAATTTTTAAATATTAGGTTGTCCGGAAAGTGTCTTTCTTTTACAGACACGTCTTTTACAACAACGCATCTTTATACAAACATGAAACATAATCTGTCGAACGTTGCGGATCTTTAGTTTGATAGAACAAAATGGATCATACGTAATTGGATAAAATAATATAAAACCATCCATTATTTCCTTATACAACGAAAGGAACTTTTCGGGCGACCTAATAACACAGTGCAATGGAAATATGATAGTCCTTAGAAATAAGGATATTCTGGTTTGTATCGTTAACTTTGAGATTGTATGGGCGATACGAAATAGTCGTAAGGAAAGAACGAGTACGATACGTACAGAAATGGATTCACGGCCAGCTCCTTGAGACGTAGCTGGGTCGAGACGATGCCAACCAGCTAGGAAATCTTTGACGTAGGGTCGCGTAGCATCCACGATTCGAAACCCGGTAATGTTGATGGCGCCGTACTCGATCACTTCGCTCTCCCATCGGTCGTCCATTATCTGATTTTACGAAAACAACGTGTTTGCAACATCGTATAAAAGACACAAAGCTCGCAATCAGTCGAGTGTTTCCGCATTTCTACTTGGACGTTCATAGAAATAAAAGGGTTGGTTTTGTATTCGTGTGCTAGAAGCGTGTTCGTTTATTTGAAATTACTCGAGCCATCGTGTCGATACAGAATCTATCTGATTGGTGAGATCAAACCACGAATAAAAGTGCGAACGTCGTAGTAGTTTTGATTGAACTATAAAGTCTTTTACGTTGCTGGAAGATTTCTTTTCAAATTAAAAATTATAATTTATATATAAATTATAACGCAAAAGCGAAATATGTATTTTCATTATTACATGATGGTTCGAAATGATCATCGCTTTTATTGCATTATATAATCATAAGGCGAATACTCACCAATCCACTTAATAAATAATGGTACGTTCTTTTCCCAAGTGCAACATCCCTCACGTGGCTCACCACAATATCTTTCGCCATGTCCGTAGGACAATCGAGTATCACGTACTTGTTACTCCATCTGTAAAGAGTTTACATCGTTTATTACGTTTATTATTTAATCTTGCTGTAACAGCTAAATTGAGTTTCCTATTGACTTCGAGTGGACCTGATGTTACGTTGGTGGTACTTTGAGTAATCTTTAGAAGTTTCAAGGGGAAAGATATTAAAGACGCGAGAACTGTCAATAAAATAATTCAAATAATACCTTGGATAAATATTAAAATACTTTAATCTACTTTGATAGAGTGCTACAAATCCGTTAAAATATATGGAAATGTCTTAATGCGATTTAATGAAACGTTACTAATATGTTAACAAAATAAATTACCATTTAAACGAAATACATATTTTGATACCATATCCAAATAATTTTATCGTATCTCGAAAGATTTATTAATATAATCTTCTTACACAATTGTTTAAACATATAAATACCGCATCCAAACGATTTTATTATATTCCGAAGGATTTACTATGCAAATTTTTCAATTTTTAAACGCTATATATATATATATATTTATTTATTTATTCATAGAATATCCTTCGCGTTTTCATTTCGCTTATAGTATCACATTTGAGCGAGTATTACAATTAAACAAGGAACGTTCGTTGTCGTCCCCATTTCGTGAAATATTTCTCGACTTCTCTGGTACGGAACAGGTTCTAACAACCCTGTGGACCCGTAATGAATTTACATAATTCCAGCCGCGTCGTTCCTCCAACGATAAAGTCGCTGTACAACGAGCCGTTTGCCTGCAACGATCCGAAATTGTTACGTTTTGTTTTTGGTAACGGGAACGTTCATTCGATTCGGGCTCATTGTCAGGTTGGTTGTTGATTACCTGGCCCGTGCAAATGCGTGGCCAGTGGTAAATTGCGGCCGAGATACGCGGTGACCGCTCGTACTCGCACAAAAGCGTGATCCGTCAGCCTGTCCGAATGCGGCCAGATTTTACTGCTCGAAAAATAAAGCTATACTAATGTGCCAACGATCGCAGAGAGCCTATTCTTTTTCCCTCTATATCGCAAAAAATTATAAGTATCATAGATTTGCAGAATGTCCACGTGTTATATCTTTTGTGGCGTATTAAATTTTTATTACTGATCAAATTTGTAAATTTGATAGATAAAATGATTTTGACTATTCTTTCATACTTTACTCCATTTCGTAAGCAAACGACCTACATTCATAGAATATTCTCTTATAAATATGTTTCGCGATTTATTAAATTTTTATTTTCGACAAATTTGCCAAATAAAATGACTATTTCCGAAGGAATTAACGTTCGTGATTTTTATTATGCATGGATTTATATGTTTTCCTCGTTACCTTCGTTTTTAACTGCAATTGAATCTTTCACTGCCCGTAATGACATAAATAGCGCTTTTAGAGTAAAATTGTGAAATAATATGTTATTCAAAGAATGAATCAGCCCCACGAGCAAAGCTACGTTTATTATTCCCAACAATTTTTATTATTACATTTTGCGTTCTATTTCAACGTAAATATTCATTTTCGAGCTTTCGTGTACGCAACCATTCATTCGTTAAATCCCTCAACGGAGCCGAAAAATCGGTTAAAATATCATTCGTTACATTCGATGCTCTATATTTTAACATCGAACTTATCCAATCTCCAAACATATCTAATTTTCAACAAAATTTTATCGAAAAAAAATTCGAAAACTCACCTATTCAATTCTTCCAAGCTGCGCAAAAAGTCGATCGCCTCGGACATATTTTGTATTCTTTTCACTGTTTCTACTTGAAACGATTCGTTGCCTGGTTTCAGGCCCTGGTAGATCTGCTGCAGCCTGAGCAGTCCTGGAACAAGCAAGAGATTTACCGTCAGCAGTGCAAATGTGAAAATTCTCTATGGTCGGTCGTTCGCGTGGTTCGCCACTCGTCATTATGCATTATACTATTCGCGTTTTCCGAAAATTATGCGTGCACGATTGCGCATCACATCGGCCGTAATTCATTGGCAGACACTGTGTTTGGTCTGCGGTGCCCGTCGAGGCCGAAATGTTCCGCGGTGATTGTAGCGGAACCACCTCTAATCTCGTAATCAGATGACGCGATTCGTTTGATGCGTTCATCCGAAAATTTCATCGCCCGGTTTTTCTAATCATCGGTAAGTTGACGAGTGCTGGAACGTTTATCGATACTTTGGATAATTTCTAGTAAGTAGTGCGAGGATTACGGAATTTCTGCAAAACTTACGAGAAATATTTAAGTTGCAACATTAAGTTTAACATTAAGAAAGCTCTATCTATGTTCAAGAACCAATTCGTATATCTACATGTCCACCAGTAATGCTTTAAACGATAATATTTTAAAATACGGTTATAGATATTTTTATCTGTGTTTCTTACGTTTAATTTAAAGATGAGAAATAGATTGATCATTTTTCAAATCGATTCTGCCTGAAATATTATACATACTGGGTGGTTGGTAACTGGTGGTATAAGCGGAAAGGGGGTGATTCTACGCGAAAAAAAGAGTCGAAAATATAGAATACAAATTTTTCGTTCGAGGCTTTGTTTTCGAGAAAACCGACTTTGAATTTTCGCTCGGCGAAATCATCATTGTCTCGATGGAAAAATTAAACAAAAATTAAAAAAAAATTTTATTCTATATTCACCCCCTTTGCGCTTGTACCATCAGTTACCAACCACCCTGTATATTGTATGTTTGAGATGGCTATTCATACTATTTTCTTACTAAGTATATGTATTCAGTAAATATTCTGTTACTTCAATATACATTTGCACATTGTTTTACAATTCTACCAATATAAATTTCAATACGTTTTATACATATAATGCACACAATATACGCATAAAAGATTTCTGTAATAACTGTCGAAATACTTTCACTGTATCTTCAACACTGAAAACTCAACCGCTCGCAAGAAATCGCCCTAAATTCCCATTCTTGCAGTATCATAGCATACTACTTCATACTTATCGGACAAATTCCTATTGCAATTCATAGCGGAATCCAGCAGGCTCGCCAGAATCCCAGGATCTTTCGAAAATCTTTCGCGGCTGCAATCAAAAGTCCACTCGCATTCATCCGTTCTGTTTCGCGGAAGCAGATATTAAACGGTCTTTCTGTTTGCTGAGGGAATCGCTTTCGGGAAGTGGAACAATCGTTCGCCATGAAAGGATCGAGTGGTTCGTAACCGCGGATACGGGTGAGAGCGTAATGCGAAAGGGATAGAAATTGAAAAATCAGAAATAAAAGAACGGACAACTGGCTGGGGTGAATCGGTGGTGGGAGCAAAAAAGAGGGGCCCGGAAAAGTCAACAGCCGAGAGTCGGCCACGTTTTGCGTTGTCGTCCTGCTTTTTTGCAGCGCATTGCGTGAAACTGATGGTCGCGTTAACGAGCGCCGTGCACGTGTATGCCCGGTGGCGCGTTATAAAAGAACGGCGCGTTTCAACGAGTAACGTGAACATCGCCGTCCTATGGTGGCTTCTTCCTGTCCCGTTTCTTGCGCCGATAATGTCCGCGTTGAAAATCACGCGGCTCGTTTCTGCGAATCATGCGATCTCGATGCTCGCTTCCGCTTCACTTGCGACTATTATCGTTCAACGATAAGCATAGAAATTATAGTTACTCCGTCATAAATCGCAGCGCAACAAATTTGGTAATTTGGCTACTTGAGTTTGGTCGCTGCATTTTTTATGTCCTAGAAACACGTTAAAAATTCTGCTTTCTTTTTTAATAGCAGTGTATTGCCCGGAGGGATATTAAACCGATTTCGACGTCAAAAAATGTTGTACACAGGATTATAGACCTTCAGCTGTCATACTTCTCTCTTCAAGCAGTGAGTAACTTTAATATTTGCACATTATACGATTTTTAACCTGTTGAACCTGCCAATATTCAATCTTTTGGATATAATAATTTCTTTTTTTTTATCTATTATTTAATATTTCGTTCCAATTCTAGTAATGGTAAATTATATTATATCTATATCTGCAAAAATTAAAATTGATCTAAGATTGATTTGTTTCCGTCAATTTTTAATTTCGCGATTATAAGAGCTTCTGGTTATAACCTAGTTAACAGGTTACTTCGTCGCATTAAATTTTTATTCGCCCAGAAAATGTCTAGTTGTATGCTACATCGTTCGCATTTGCATTGTTACAGAATGTTGTCAACAGAAGTACAAGAATGGTACATATAATTGTATAAGTAATTCGTAATATTTACTATATTGTTTACTTTAAATGAATGAATGGTCGTATCATTACATTGATATTCGCATACTTTTTGGGAATACAGTCGAGAAGAAAAATAAGTGGGCAGGTAGTACCATACTTAAGTCTTATTTACTATATAGCCTTATAATACGTAAATTATTTAGCAAATAATTGAAATTAATTTTTAAATTCTCTCATAAATAATCTGTTCTTTGATCTTTGTTCCCAACTGTAAATTACTTCTACTAATTATACGATCGTTTTTCCCAGCGCCAGCGTCTCGCATATGTCCTTACCCTTTAGTCGTGCGAGTTAACCAGTCAACTCAACCGAGCCAGGCTGATCGCAGGAGGATGTTTGAAGTGTCGACGTTCGTTTGCAGAACAACACGAGCGTGCTTGCTCTTCGAGGCTAATCAGTTTACCATTTCCGGGAAACTTTTATTTTTTATTCGATGCACGGGACGTGACTCGGTTTTCCACGGCTGCTGTCATTTCACGAGCAATTAAGCAGCCGCGACTCTATAGTTAATCCTTTATGATCGCGTTTCGAACCGCCTAGCCGTGAGTGTCGCGTTTTATTTCCGCGTGGAACACGGACAGCGCGGGATCTCGTCGTACGCTCGTTGGAGAACGTGATGGGCCGTTTCATAGATCGGTGATTAAGACAAAAGAGGTGGCGTTAGGTTTGTATGGTCAGAGGAAACCGATCCAACAGATTTCCCGGGGATTGCTTTTTACACCTTTAAAAGCAGCATTTTTGTGGGCATTTTTTTACACATCGAGATGGTAAACCAAATAATACTTTGGCCAGAATTTGCGCATACTACGATGGTTTTGACATTTAATTTTTGTAATTTCTTGCGAAAAGATGTACGGATTAGTATTAAGCGACGAATTTATATAATTTGTCACACGAGAATTCTCACATGAATTTTTATTTAATTCGTCACACGAGAATATCAAATAAATCTGACAAAATTTACTATCATGGAATAACTTAGATAATTTAGAGTTATATGGAGTAACATGCTTGCCAACGACTCAAATGAGTTGATGTAACTAAAAAGATCTAAATAAATAAATAAGTAATTTAAGTTTATAAGTTTGAATGTTTTAATTAACAAGGAAATCTGACATTGCCATTAATTAAATGCTAATTTTGTAAATATTTACGATAGGAGATTCTAATCCCTTAATTTCCAAAACCTCGTGTATGCTGTAGTACCAGCAACAGGGTAATTGCAAAAATTGTTGCCATTCAACTAATGATGATATCGGTGCGCGAAATTCGTTGAAATTAATTACACGAAGGTTGCGGTGGCGGATTCACGATCACCTTTTGCGGTTCAATACGCTCTGAAACGCGAATCGATCGGTGTAATGATTATAAGGGTGGCTAATTAACGACGCGTTGTCAACATGGATGTCGACCACGGTTCACAGAAAGCCGTATGACGTCAATTGTGAATGTTCGCAGGCTTTAGTGACACGCGCAACTAAGCCGATGATGTCTATGCGGCGACACGTGACCGATTCAATGGCTTTCGTCTGATTTCGGCCAACTAATTGCTTTTCAGCAACAAATTAGTAGAATTGAAAATTTCATGTTAGTGTGCTTGCGCGAATTTCCAAGGCATTTCACGAATGTGTTTGAAGTTACGACTCGAGATATGATTCTGGGAATGTCTACAAAATTTATTTAAATTAGTAGAAAGAGAAAAAGGGAGAGAGAAAGAGAGAGAGAGAGAGAGAGAGAGAGAGAGAGAGAGGAAGAGTTTATGGCATGGAACATATACAGCGGAGCACAACAGAAAGTTTAAAATTGTTACATTATAAATTTTAGCAAATTCAGTGCTAAAAAATTGTTGCCACATTGATAATAGTCATCTATTCTGTAGTACATATTTTTTCTTCATTGCTTTATTAAATATAAATTCATTTCGCTAATTAAAATTATAGTGTCTTTTCATATTTCTCGTCTTATAAACTTTCTTTTGTCCGCCACTGTATACGTAATATAAGTACGTGAGGCAGATTTTAATTAACCTTGAGCAAGTTCTGAGAAAATTAAATAATTAGAATTGTAAAAGAAAAGGGAGGAGAAGATGAAGTCGTTGTGTTATGCAATATGATAAATATGTATATACTTACACGCGTATTAAAACATACATATAAACTTTCCAATATCAACATATCTTAGATATGTACACGACCATTGAGAAATTCTTACTTTTTCAAAAAATCTTTCAAACCTATGTTATTGAATTTAGAAGAAGAAAGCAAAGTTCTATTAATAGGACGTTTCAGAAAATAGTGCGAAGCTTTGGTCAGTTTTATTTCTAGTTGTTATTGAACTATCTAACAATGCTAATGGCACGGAGTGGTAAAAGGCTCTAATTAGATGTTGTTATTATTACATTTTTTTTTGTTGACCTGCGTACTCATCTATTATGCGTTAATGGCTTAAAAGATTTATCCGTATTAGTTATGCTGTTGTATATTCTCTGTTTACTTATCGAATTCGTCTAAAACGTACAATATTTTTTAGGATACGTTATCATCTAGTAAAATATTTTCTCTTCTGTCGGCGGTCTTTGCCGTTTTACCTG